GCGGGGAGGCAGCAACCCAGGTCCCTCTGAAGGGGGTGTCGCCTCTAAAAAGGAAGCAAGGGAAACAGTCAGGAAGAATCTTGCATCGTACCAGCAACATCCAGGTATGGTTTTACTGGGGCAGAGGCTGGCTTTGGCAGCTGTTTCCTATGGCACCAGAGGGGGGGGAGTCCCGAGCACAAGGCAAATTTCAGAACCATGACAAGCTCAGGCTCACACACGTGGATTTGGCAGTAGCCACAGATGTTGACCCGCCAAACTCCCAAAGCCACTAAGAGCCTGACAGACATCCTGCAGCGTATTCCAAAGCCACGTGGGCTGGAAGATGCTGAGGGTGCCATTCTGGCACGTCTGCACAGCACCCGCTTTAGGACAAAGGGAAAAAAAAAGATTCTCCAGGAGGGCCTTTACTCTAAACCCCCTTTACTCACTCCCTGTGGCTTTCTATACACCTGCCTGGGGGGTGGTTCCACCCAAATACTCATCATGCCTTATTTATCTAGGTTCCCAAAATCAAATCAGGGCAAGTGTCTTTAGGGCAAACAGCTTTATTAAGCCTCCTAATGGTGGGGAAGGAGAGAGCCGGCTACTGATGTCCCCATCTCTCACAGCTAATACACCTTCAGGAAGTACAAGGTTCGTGAGCTGAGGTGAGAGAAAGGGTCCTTAAAACCCTCTTGGGTGGAATGGCCCCCGATTGCTTCTCGTGCACGCCCACGTGCCACTAAGTGCGGCACCGTCCACGAAGGGGTTGTGCCAAGCCTGAAGAAGTGGTGTGTTCTCCACGAAAGCTTGTGAACTGATTTTTTATTTTTTATTTTTGGTCCGATAAAAGGTATCACCCACTCCTGCATCTGTGCAGTCTTTGGGGAACCACGTGGCCTTTTCCTTGTTCTTTAAAAACGGTCCGGTCTGCCTTAGGCTTCAATGGAATCAATAGCCATCGTGTGCTTTCAAGTCAATCCTGACGTACGTCGACCCTTTCCAGAGTTTCTGGGAAAAGACTCAGAGGTGCTTTACCCTTCCCTTCCTCTAGGGGCGTCCTAGGACAACAGTGCAGATGGCCCAAAGTCCCCCAGGCTGGCTCTTCTCCTCCGGAGGCGACATGGGGGAATCAAACTCCCAGTCAGAGACCTAAACTACCGAGCCTATCTAGCCAGCCTCACCTGAATTAGGGAAAGCCTACTGGCCAATCCTACTCTAGAGGAGCCTGGAAGGAACTGAACCCGCCTTTCAGCCACAAACCACTTCCCCATACCATTAAGCTACGTCCCCTCCATCTTTTACAGACGGACAAAACAGATTTCAAACCCCCAAGTCTATGATCTCCTCATAACCTTTCCAACTCCAGCTTTTTTTAAAAAACTAGAAACCTTCAGCCTCAGCCTCCCTCCTGCCCCAAATAGAGTCTCACCCCACCTAATAACGGCAGCAGAGGGACCTCCCCAGGCAGCTGAACGTCCCCAGTCAACCGGAGCCCGGCTTCCTTGGGAGCGGAGGGCTCTTCCTTGATCCTGTGAAATTTTAAAAAATAATAAGAAAAAAGTGATCAAGGCCGCATCTTTATTTTATTTTTCTGCAGGGCCAGCCGCTCCTGGAAGGAATGCACCGATGGGAAACAGACACATCCCATAAAGAGAGTGCGAATCATGTACAGAAGCGGGGGGGGGGGCAGGAAGCAGACACAGCCCATAAAGAGAGTGTGAATCATGTACAGAAGCATGGGGGGGGGGACGCGCAGGAAGCCAAGTCCCGGCTCCAAAGCAGCCGGCAATCCTAAATCAAAGAGATCTTGTGTTGCGGGAGGCCAAAACCAGATTTCTTTAGTGGTGGTGGGGCCGATGGCCACTCAGTCCTTCCTAAGACACCTACTTTTGGATGCTACTCTGTCTTTTGTACAGAAATTCCCCTTTCCCTCCATCCTAGAAGTGGGGGGAAAAACGCTCCCAAGGTGTGTTAACTGGCAGAACCATCTCTAAGCCAAAATAGGTTGGCATTTCCAGCTCCATTTCAGCCCCCTCCGCCCCATGACTGAAATCGGCCCCGAAACCTTCTTCTGAAACCATATTTGGCCCTTGGGCCAAACAGTCCCCCAGTCCCCCTTGCTCTAAGACAGTCATGGTCAAACCTGGGAAGCCCCTGATGGTCTTCAGCAACTACAATTCCCAGAATTCTCTCCCTGGCTAGGCTTGTGAAGGCTTCAGGGCGTTGTAGTAAAAAAAAACTTCTGCAACTCAACATTCAAGGACAATTATTCTACGAATGAAAACGTGTGGGTTTTTTTTAACATGTCTCTAAAGCAGAATTTAGTTAAGTCCCATTCTTGGACCACAACGCCCACAATCCTGCTGCCTGGCCATAGCTCTATTCTAGGGGCAAACGAGGGCCAACCCGATCTTGTTTAAAAGCTCCTACTCCGAAGCGCAGAAACTCTTCCTTGAGATACACAACTGCATTTCAGGAAGGAGACGCTGGCTTACACGGAGCTTTCCCTTCCCACAATCTCCCTGCATGAACCCATATAACTTTTTCTTTTCATATTATTGTGACCGATCAAATAGCTTGAGCAAGCTTTTGAAACCGAAGAAACCTAACTAACGTGTTTCATGAAAAGGGGTGTGTGTGAACGCTTTGTAAGGGCTTGTAACGGTGCACCTATTCCCAAGCCATCTTTGATACATGTGTGTGTTATCAAAGTCATGGGTTCGAATTATGTGCCTGTGTGATTGTTTCTGTCTTCACAAGACTCTGCTACCTCCCCTTCTCTCAACAGAGATGGGGCTGAACAGCAACCTTCAGAACAGTCTCCAGACTTTACCGTGGGGGAGGCGACAGCCCCAAGGCCAGGGAAGGCTCCTGTTCACGGATTTCCTCTGCGGGTTCTGAAAAGAGAAGGGAGGCGAGCGAACAAGGCCAGGAAGCCGCAGAGAGATGGGAGCAGAGGCGGCAGAGAAACAGAGGGAGGGAGAAGGGAGGGAGCGAAAACAAACAAGAAAACAGAGCCCAGCCAGATTTGTGTCCTTGGAGAGTTGGCTGGACTTCTAAGAAACCTATAATTAAGCCATGTTTTTCTTCATCATCCTCTCCCCACCCCCTTCCCCTTTTCAAACAAAACAAAAAATGTTCCCTGGGTCAGGTTTTGGTTTACACCAGGAGATCAGCGGAGAGCGAGAACGGATGCAAGAATCCCTCCCCTTTGCACCCATGTTCGTCCAGTCCACTCCATCTTCCCGGAATTGGGATTTGACTACAACTCCCATTGTCAGCAACACAGCTAAGATGTCAGGGACGGTAGCTCAGCTGATCTGGAGGACTGTGGGAACCCACAAAGTGCCCCGGGCTCATCTTCTTGGGTCCATCAAGCCCAGTCGAGTTTGAAGGGCAAAATTCTTTCCTAGCCCAAGCTGGAGAGGGCAGGAATTGAACTCAGGACCTTGGCCCTCCCAGCGAGCAAAAGTCTTCCAACGTTTCTCTTTCTTTATTCCCCTATCTTGCAGGAGGCCGAGTGAAAAGCCCACGCTAGCTGTTTTTATCTCCACCAGGAGCAGGGGTTTTCTGAGGTTAACGGATCTGAACTGCCTATTCTACCAAGCCACTTCAAAATACTTTGTTTTCCAGTAGGGACAGCTCCCACTTTCCCTCTCTCTCATCCGGGATGGGTGGGCGGGCATCCTTCTCATCCTTATCCCCCCCCCTTCATCCTGAGGCCATCCCTTAATTTCTTCCTCTTTTTGCTCTCTCCCATCAGCTCACTTCCAACGACAGAGTAGAGTTTTAGGAGCAGGTGAGGCGCTTGAAGAGTGGTTTTTAACCACAGCCTCCCACCCCCACCCCCAAGTATGGGTCCGTCATCATTCGAAACCACGACTCCCACGTGCGGCTCCAAGACTCTGCCCACCAAAGGTACATCGACGGGCCAACCCAAAAGGGCACACCTGCCTGTCGAATTCTGGGCAGCGTCGTCCCGAATCTCAAAATCCGGCCACCTTTTGAAGACACCCCTTCAAGTCTTCCACCTTACACACGGTGAAGTCCTTTCCCCCTAGCAAGCTCAGCCCTGCCTTCCCTCCTTGCCTGAGTGGTCCAGGCTCTTCAACACAGAGCCTCCAGGCAGGATTTGAATCCAGGACAGTGGATTTTAGATGGCAGCTCATGTTTTTCCATGGGAGCTTCGACTCCTCTGCACGGCTCTCCAGCTGGGGGTTTTCACCAGAATTTTGCTGCTCCAGATGTTTTGCCACTAGAAAAGTCTCGGACATCCTTCTGCCCTGCGGGTGTGGGGGAGTGAGATCTCTGCTGTCTTCTCTTCCCCACCGGCCCCTATCCTTATTGTTTTAAATTGCAAATCTTGTCTTTTAATGGTGCAAGGCTTCTTTTTTAGATAGGCTGTTTTTTAGCTTTAAATGTCCGTCTTTCAGTGACGTCAGCCGCCTCGGGTCCTTTTGGAGGAGCCAGACCAGAGTAGAAAAAATATTTTTTAAACCAATCAATAAATAACCTATTGAAAACAGAGAGTGGAAAAGTTCCAGCTTCTGGAGGATGATTCCCAGAATCATCTCCCGGGGAACTTTTCCAAGCACTGGTTGGAAAGACCAGACGGGGCAAAAGCCGTCCCGGTTCTGGGGTGTGTCTGTGTGAATCCACGTTTTGGGTCCGTGCATGGAAAAAAAAACCTCTCTCTGAGGTGCAGGCCTGTGCCCTGGCCAGGCTCTTCCTCCTTCTCCACCACCATCACCTCCTCCTCTCCCCTCAGTCCGTGTATGGAAAAGAAACCTCTCTCTGAGGTGCAGACCTGTGCCCTAGCCGGGCTCCTCCTTCACCACCACCATCACCTCCTCCTCTCCCCTCACCTTCTTCCAAACGGCGTTTCCTGGGCGAAAGCAGGGGTGTCGCCACACCGGGCACCAGGAACCCTTCTTGTTCAGCCAACATGTCGATCTCTTGAGCCGTGATTTCGGGGAGGTCTCGCTCCTCCTGCCACCGAGAGAGAAAAAAATGAAACGTCCAGTGTGAACCCACATCATGGCACAGAAGGAGAAAGTTACTTTTCTGGGTGAAAACTCCCATAACTCCCTACCACCAGCAGCATGGCTGACGGGCTGGGAGGGGTGGGTAATGGGAGTTGTAGTCCAAAGGCCACCCACCCACCCCCAACGTCTGAGATCATGAAACCACTCCGTCTCCCATTTCCCTGCGGCAGCAGAAGACCTTACTTCAAACCTCGGCAAGGTAATGGGTTCAGCCTCCCGGAGGGTGATGGCGTCGGGAGAGACGGTGAGGAGAGGCTCTCCTGGTGAGCAAAAATAAAAAATTTTAAAAATGGATCAGAAAATACATTCAGTTACTCTCTCCTTACCCTCTCTTTCAGCCCTTGAAGATGGGTGGGAAGCTGTCTCCCCCTCAAAAAAAGCACATTTCTACATTGACATGTCCTACCAAGGAGGGACAAGCTCTGTTCTTGATCCTCCCAGAAGGCAGGACACGCAACAAGGGGCTGAAGTGAAAGGAATCCAGATTTCGGCTGAAAATCAGGAAAAACTTCCTAATGGTTAGAGCAGTACAACAATGGAATCAGTGACCTTGGGAGTGGGTGAGTGCGCCAACCCTGGAGGCCTTCAAATTAATCACCCGGCCTGGGTGAGTGCATCAGCCCTGGAGGCCTTCAAATTAATCACCCGGCAAATAGGCTTTGATGGTATTCCTGCCTTGAATAGGGGGTTGGATTGGATGGCCTTGTAGGCTCCTTCCAACTTCGCTTTTCTACGATTCTATGATTTACTGCTTGGGTCTCTTCCTAGGGGTCCCCAGAACTCCGGATGGTTTCCCCAGCTGCACAGAAATGGAAAGTCCAGCCTTCCGGAGACAGCTGGACTACATCTCCCAGCATTCTTCATTCCTGGCTAGGGTTGATGGGAGGTACAGCCTGATTACACCCAGAGGGCAGCAAGTGGCCTATCCTTCTATACCAACATCCCACCTACCACGGCTAGGTAAGACAGGCGTCGTAGCTCACCTGAATGGTACAAGCCTTGGGAAAGCGGCTATATTTTATAAATGGGCTCAAGCTACGGGAGGGCCAGATTTGGGCTGAATATCAGGAAAAACACTCCTTGGGTCTCTTCCTGAATATCAGGAAAAACTTCCTAACTGTTAAAGCAGTACGACAATGGCAGCCATGATTTTGGGACGTGGTGGTTGCTCCAATGCTGTAGGCCTTCAGGAGAAAATGTTGCAACCTTCTGTCCAATCTGCTTTGATCTGGATTCTTGCCTTGAGCGGGGGGGGGAGGTTGAACTCGATGGCCTTGTAAGGCCCCCCCTCCAACTCCACAATTCTAGGATTCTATACTAAAGTAAGCATCCCGTGTATTTATTTTGGTTCTCCAAGAGAGAAAAATAAGCCAGGTGGCTGCTGAAGCACAATGGGAGACAACACAACCCTGTCTGGTTGAGAGTCAGGCCTTTTTCCTAGAAGGCAAAATAATTGTTCCGATCACCTTAAAATGCCGGCACTGGCTGACAGCCTTTTTGTATGGAAAACCCTCCTTTTGGTGGCCTGGAAATTTAAATGCCAGAACTCCAGACTTTTAGCCTGGGTGGGGTTAGGCGTGGCAAGCCCACCTCTGCCTTCTCCGCCTGGCTCACCTGTCCTCCGACGCATGGAAGACGGGGCACGTTCCGTGGGGCTTCTCTCCGGAGTCGGTGTTTCCAAGATGTTTCGAACCTGGAAGCGGAGGGAGATATAAGGATGATGTTGCTTCATCCGCTTCCCTTGTTGGAAAGCTCGGATCCAGCGCACGGAGAGGGAGGGAGGGAGGAAGGGAGGGAGAAGAAGCAAGCCGTATTATCTTGGGTCAGGGGGGTGCGGGGAGATCATCATCTTACATGTGGAATGGAGGAAGGACTCGGCAGCAGAGGCTCCATCAGGCCAAAAAAGGGGTCGGGCGCTTCCTCCAGAGCTTCCATCAGTTCTAGTTGGCTGGGGAGAAGCAACCCTGGTCTGGAGAGCAGAAGCAGAAGGAAAGAGCAGAAGCAGATAAGTTAAATAAATAAATAAATTCCTGGGACTTTCAGAACCCAAAGCCAATAACACTCCTTTGCACACTTAGCTGTCCCCCCATGTACTTCGGACACAATTTTATTCCACATCCAGCAGGAAGGGAGTACAATTCCCTTTGTCCCCTGCCTATCAGTTGTGCTGCCTGGGAACGGTGAGAGTTTGTAGTTCGATTCCCCAGGAGGCCAGCCGGCCAGGGAAGGTTGTGAGCCTCCCAACAGCCCTGAAGAGTAGGCCAAGGAAGGGAGGTAACATGAAAGCCAGAGAAGGGGGCAAAGGCTCCCTAAAACCCACCACCACCCCTCTTTGCTGCAGAGTAAAGAGTGAAACACCACTCGCATGTCACACACAACTGCCCTCGGCCCCATCCGAGATCCGAGTCCCATCCTATCTCTGCCGCAGGGAGGAACTCTGAGCAGCTGAACCCTAGCAAAGAAACCTCCGAGGCCAGGTTGTTGCCCGAGAACCGACCTCAGAAGAATTCTGAGATATACACAGCTAGGCAGAATAAGCGCTTCTTGGGCCAGCCAGACTGAGACACGCTAAACGTAGGTCATGTTTAAAAACCCTATTGCATCCCCTCATTTAAGAAGCCTCAGATGAGCACCAGAAGGCATGCTTTAGAGTCCCTACTGTGCAGATCTGAGGCTGCGTTGCTTTGGGTTTCCGAAACATCAGTTCTGGGCAACATCCTGCCCTCTGCGTCCAACATGCTCATTGCCTGTTCTCTGCATACAGCCATTGGTTCTGCAAACCGTTATGCAAGAACGTGCGCATAGGGCAGGCTGGTGACATTGTGGAGCAGAGGGAGGAGGTTGCAAAACCACAGCAGTTCCTGGAGGCACTTGTTATCACGGCCCTGAAATAAGGCCACGAAAAATAAGTCGCACCCATTTTACAGAACTGGAAACTGAGGGCCTCCCTTAAAGATCAGCTTTCCCAAAGCAAGCCCACCCGCCCAGGCAGAAGGTAAATCACCTTTAAACCCCGATGGTGGAGAAGAGGGGGAAGCACTCACTGTTCTAGGTCTGTCAGGTCGATCCGGAACTGCTGCTGGGTCCGGTTCAGCCGTTCTAAAATGTGCTGGATTTCCTCTGAAAACAGAGAGGAAAACATTTTAAATGGGATCAGCCCGGAGAGGTTCAAAGCCCAAAGCCCTGCGTCCAGAATCCTTGGGGAGAAAATGGATGTGTTTGGGGGGGGGGGAGAGAAAAGTTTCCTTTTCAAAAAAAGTTT